TTAGAAGATTATTAAAAATAATAAATAATATAATTTATTTTAATTTATAATTTTTATTAAATATATTTATTTACCATAAAATATTTTGCAAAATTAGAAAATAAAAAAAAATTGAAAAAGACCGGCCGACCAACCTAGTTTTCTAGACCGATTTTGAGCTAGAATTCATCCGATTTTTGATCGACTTTTTCATATTTTGGTTTTGTGATTCTTTTAGATTGGTAAACTGATCGATTCGTCATTCGACTGATTGAACCAGCTAGTTTGATCTGATTTTGACAACACAAATGTTTAAATACAGGTTATAATCATGTAAGGTGTAGTAATATTGGTTTTGTAAACACTTGAATCTATCGGTTTCTTTCTGTTGAACTTTGTCAATATTGGTCATCTAGACCATGTGTTTTGTATTGAACAACTTTAACCAGTTTCCTTAGATAAGAAATGTATGTGGTATATCATGTTATTATTTTAACTATGTTGAACAACAATTTCATTTTCACCATCTTCTAGTCTCTTATAATATTTCAACATATTCAAATATTATTAAAGCACCAATTTTGTTTTTATACATTTAAGTGATATAATCACTTACAAAATTACACATTTAATGAACGAATCATTTATCTCACTACAAGAAAATGGTGAAATAGCTGCAAAAAATAAGCGTTGGCTAATAGTTGACGCAAATACTATCAGAAAAGTCGACGCTATTTTAAAATGTAGCGTTGACTTTTTCGACACTAAATTTAAATTAAGTGTCGAAAAAACCGACGCTACATCTTAAAATAATGTCATCTTTTCTAACAGTATACGTGCTTTGAGAGAGATAAAGATAATTTTTTCAATGTTATATACGCATAATGTGTTCTGATGCACTTGATTATCAAGTTCACTTAAGACCTCAAGGTCCACAAATCGAGTCCCGGGAATGTTAAAAATACGAACGAATAAATGATAAGCTGGAAAAAGAATAGATAAGGAAAAAAATAAAATAAATTTTGTGTCGATGTAGTGTCGGCTTATCCAACAATAAATATTAAAATAAATAAATTTGTTATTAACAGCTTAGCTGACACAAAAGAAATTGTGTCGACTTATTTAGCATCTTCCAAAAATGGAAGAAAAATCGACAATATTACGTTGATTTTTATGATTTAGAGAAAATTGTGTCAATTTATTTAGCATCAGCCAAAAATGGATGAAAAACTGACAATATTACATCGGTTTTTATGATTTAGAGTCGGCTGCAACATTTTTGTAGTGTCTATTTAATCACTACAATTAATTATTATAAACTTATTACAAAATTATTAATTATTTTTAATTATTTTTAATATAACAATTAAAACATATTTATATTTATTATATACGTATTTATCATACGTAACATTATATCTCAATATCAGAATTTGAAACATTTAAATTACAATAGTCAAAGAACAATACTGTTTATTACCTTGCATGAACTACTTTTTTTTTTTTTTTGTTTTTTACTTTTAAGTCAAATAGTGACTTGTAGTATTTGACATGCATCAACTATTTAGGATAATTATTCTATACTAATCAAAATATATTATTTTATACTAATCAAAATATGCACTATTCAATTGAGTATTTGTTGTTGCAATGAATGAAATTAACTTATTAACTAATTCGAAACGATCTCGATATCTAATTTTTTCTAAACTAATGCATACAAGCATTATCAACTAAACCAATAACAGATTCCTAACATTTTCAAATATAATATACTTTTAATCATAATAGAGAAAATCTATTACACATAATAAATATAATAAAGACCACTTCAAATAATAAAATTTGTCACTCCTTCAATTTGTCTATGCCATCATAAATATTGTTCGTAGGAATAAAAACTAAATTTAAAACATATACACAACATACAATTGAATACTCTTAACTATATTTTTTATCGTACAAACTACTAGACATAAAATAATTTACCAAAATGATATAATTTTTCAACCAACAAGAATATTATGTGCCACATCAACATACTTATTTTTTTTTACTCTTAACAATTCTTCCTTTGACATTTCCAATTACCCTTATTAAATTTCCATTTATATATTCAACTTTCGAACAAATTCCACTAACCTCATTCATAATTTTTCAAACTTTTTCATGTAAGTTTAATATGTCTAGCATTTGTGCTATAACAAGTGGAAAATTAATTGTTAGTTCTCATCCACTACATCACACCAAGCAAAATACTAACAATGCCTCCTTATACCATCAAATCTTCCACACCCATAAAACTTTCTACCCAGGTTTTTCGAATTGCTTGATCTTTGTATTTTGCAAGGTAAACCACAAAAGCATAAATACTTGTTCCTACTAGGTGTGAACAATGTTACTTAGCCACCTAGATTGTGAAGAAGAACTATTCTTCATTATTTTTGAAAAAAAGGTCACAAAGGAATTAGTTTGACACCAAATTCATATACTAATTACTTTAACTATGAAAGTTGTTGTTCAAAATTAAACAAAAGAGCAAATATAGACAATATACACTTTACAAATAACTAATCAAAATAGTAACTTTACTTCAATTATATTTCAATATTCCTGAAGAAAAACATACACAATCAGTACCAACACAATACATAATTTCAAAAGTTCACAGCAAATAGAAACTATTATCCTAATACCTAACTATACACACCTAGATAAATAAAATTTAAATTAATTTTGTCAAAAACAAAGATTCATCATATTCATCTTCCATCTTCCATATCTTTATAATAATGTTTCCAAATCAATTTAAAATTCAAAACACAATAACTTCACCGTAAACTATAAGACTATCTTAGGATTTAACGAAAAATCAAATTCAAAACAGTTGGTTTCTTTTTATTAATTGTCGTAGGAATATAGATAATAATTAAACTATTAACTGCTAACACGGGAAAACATTGCTGCAAAACCTTCTTATAGTATAGCTAAAATTCAAATTCACAAAAGTGGATATTCTCTATCAATTTATCACAATACAAATATACATAAAAAATATTTATTAGTACAACACGTTAGGCTTTAACCAAAAGATTCTCTCTTATGATTGTTGCACAACCTTCTTACTAGCAAATGAACCAAAATTATTGATCAAAAGGCCTTTATCTATATATTTATAATGAAAAACATTGATGCAAAATATGTTGCTACTTGCAAATTATGAGACAAACGAAACTTATTTCAATGAGATAAACCACAAACAGCATGTGAAATTGTGAGCAAGGCTAAGAGAACCACAACACACAACAATGGAAGTGTCAAACAAATCTCTTTCCAAAATGACACTCTAAGACACCACTTTTAATTTTCAAAATGGAGGAGTCCCTAAAATGGAAGTTTTGATTAACTCATGGACACACACAAGGTTGTTTTAACTTATCGTTGAAGAAGATTGAATTGAAAAGCAAAAATAATTATAATAATTTATATATATGTAATCATCATTTAAATGACAGTTGACCATATGCTTACCAGCACTACAACAAAATTTATTATTATCGATAATTATTTAATGATAATAAATTAATCGTCTCTATTTTATTATCTAATAAAAATATCAATGACTAATATATAATAACTACTAAAAACGTATTTACATCACACTAAAATTTACTATCAGTGACAATTATTTATTATGGAAAACTTAATTAAGTCTTACATCGACTTGAGATAAGATAATTAAAAAGTATATAAGTGGATGATAACCATCACTTTACAAGTTTATTTTGTAGGGTTGAGTTAGACTTATAACTTATTATTCTAAGTTCGTATTAAATTACTCACCATCACCAAGTTCAATAATGTTAAATTTGGGGGGTATATTGGAAAAACTCAAGTCCCACATCGACTATAGATAAAATAATTAAAGAGTATGTAAGTAGATAGCAACTCTCACCATACAAGTCCCACATCTCTCACAATAGCAGATGAAATAATTAATAGGAAATAAGACAATTAAAAATATAAGAAAATTAAAGAATATATAAGTAAAAGATAACTCTCATCTTACAAGTCTTACATGACTATAGAAATAAGATAATTAAAAAGTATTATGAATCATTTCTTAAACTTTTAGTAGCAATATCATAAAATATTAAATGTCTGTAAAAAATGCCGTAAAAACTTATATATTTCCAACCATTATAAGAATTTTTACCAGTATGCAGAATAATTGTCAATAAATTTAGTGACACTACATATAATAACTAATGTAAAAATGCTAGTAAAAGATTTTGTAACAATTTTTATTGTTACTAAAAACTATATTAAATAAAAATTCATTTTGTTGTAGTGCAAATAACTTCTAAAGGGTACACACATGTCAACCAGTAACCGGGTGATGTCACAAGGTACACCGATGCCGTCTATTTTAAGAGAAATTATACGGTACCCACTATAATTGTGAGGTACCGGAACAGTCATTTTGTTTTTTCTTCCTTTATAATTACTTGTTTTATTTTTATTTTAATTTAATATTTTTAATAATTTATCTATATCTTTATATTATTTTAATATTTTTTAATTTATATCTTAATATTTCATCTATTATAATTAAAAAATTTAATATTAATATTTTGTTAATATGTTTTAGTTTTTCTTTGGTGATAACTTTTTTAACTTTATAGTATAAATTAGTTTTTCAGTTATATTATTTATTTTTTTATTTTAATATTTTTATAATATTATTATAATTTTTTTATTTTAATTTTTTAATTTGGTCAGATATAAATAAAATTTGTTATGAAAATTGACCTTTTGATTATTTTGTTTTGAATTAGTCTTTTTGATTGATTTATTTAATACAAATTTTTAATCTAAAATTTATGTTATTTTAAATTTATTTTTTAAAATTTATTTGTTCATATAATATAATGTACCAAAATCTTTCCGTTTTCATGGTAGCTTGCAAATGTCATTCATATAAATATACTCCAAGTGAACACATCAGATTAATTAACTACTACTCATAAACAAAGGAAGCTTTAATATTCAAAGGAGGGTCCATTATTATTAATGTGAAACACGCATGCACACATGTGCATGGGATTTGGGAGGGAAATTAACCATAGATATGACCAACAAGTGACTTATTCAATACACACATACATAGATCCACTTGTCCCATACCACACACATATGACTAGTTAGCAGCATAGGGGGATAAGGTTAAGAGGCGATGGAACGCGTTGGAGACGCACTCATATATCGCATCTGAAAGCGACGTCGTAGTGAACACATAGGGTAGTATCTGACCGCTGTAGTTATTCTGAACGTCGCGGTATCTGTCCCACAACATCACCCCTCCATAGTTGGGCGCTAGCTTCACGTGCGGAAGCACCTCCGTAATGAGCTTCTGAGGTTCAATGTAACCGATCCAAGCCGCACTGGGCGCAGCGGGGAGGCCCAGGAAGAGGGAGTTATTGGGCTGGACCAGGTTGACCCACTTGTCCCAGGAGTCCAACACGGGCTTCACGTCGCCGGTGTAGGAGCACTCTGGGTTGTTGTAGAACTGAACAAAGATGTAGTCGAAGAGGCCCGTGGCGATGGCTTTGCCGAGATAGTAAACTGGGATTGGGCACTGAGGCGCTGCGGAGAGGTAAAAGTAACGCCCTTTGGTGCGTCGCAGAGTGTCCAGTTCTCTGGCGAGGTCGTCCCAGTGATCTTCTGTCTTTTCGATGTCGAAATCGATTCCGTCCAATGTCACACTTCCGAGTGGTCCGAATTGGCCACTGAGGAAGTTTTCATAAAGGTAGTTCGCCACAATCTTTGCGTCGTCTGCGGAGCTGATGGAGTAGTCTGAATAGTCAGGTGCTCCCCCTATGGATAAGAGCACTTTGATCCCTTTGGCCTGCCATACCATATATGGGGCAACAAAATTAATTAGTTAAATAAAATAATACCAAACTGTGTACATGTTTTCTTTTGATTTTGCCTTCATGTCTTCGAGTTCGAGTTCAGTCTTAGACTAATTTAACTCCACCCAAAGATAAGTATAATCTAGTCAATGATTGTTTCTTAGCATTGTCTGAACTATTTAATTTTAAGTTGAATACATTAATTACTTGTATCAAATTCTTTAATTCGATAATATATATATTATATATATATATATATATATGTAAACATGCATGCAAATTATGTTTGATGTGGGTCTACCTGGCAGTGTTTTATTTCGGGCTCTAGTTCATAGCACTTTTTCCAGGCGCCGTTGTCACAGTGGCCAGCGAAATTCCAAGCTGGGGTTCTGCCTCCACCGAACTTGTTGAGGAAAGCTAGAAGCACAATCTTGTACTTGTTTGTGTCGCATGTGCTTATCAAATCGCCATCGCCATTATTTTGGCCCCAGTAGACGGCAATGCCACCATTACCATTGTCGGGGCTTGAGGAAGAGAATGAGAAAAGGGATAAGAGAAATATCACCGATGCTTGCATTTTGTATGCCATGATTGTGGTTTGTGTTTTGGTTTTCTTGTTTAAGTTGATGAGTGTGAGAGAAATAGAATCAACGTATTTGTAGTGGTAGAGCATGCATGTCCAAACAAATTAAGAACTTATTGTAAGGTTCAATTATTGATCGACACACGAATTTAACACGTGCGGTTTAAAATACCGGAAAAAAGGGGAGAACCTACGTGACATACTTTGGAAAATAATAAAATAATGGAGAGATAAGCACAATGAATTCGACGCTTTGAAAGGGAATTAATAATAATGAAATTGAAGTTCATTGAATTTTCAAGAACATGGTTATATAATATAAAATTATATTTGTCTGAATTTGAACAATGATATTTCCATTTAAGCCGATCCAACTTTATTTAACAATTTTTCATTTTAAGATTTTGTTTTAATTAAAATAGTGACATAATTTAATTGATGATCTAAGTTATCTTAATTAATTGAGAAAATTAAATAATAAAATATATATATATATATATATATATATATATGAGTGATGGGGAAAAATAAATTTGTAAATTTATATGTACAACTTTTAATTAAAATAAAATTGTTAATTATAATAATTCTAACACTCAAATAAACAATCAAACACTCAAATAATATATTTTTTTTATAACTACTTTTAATAAAATCAATAACTTATTCATTAATATTTCTTTATAATACTTTGAGATTAGTTCGATTTGTTCAAAACTTATTTAAAAGGTTAATTATAAAAGTATACAATAAATGCTTTTAGAATATAAAAAATTCCACCAAAAAATAGAAATAATTTAAAAATTAATTAATAGATTAAAGAATTGAAATATAAAAGAATAATAATTACAATGTTATTAAATTTTGATATTAACTATATTAAAATATGATAAAAATTATGAATTTCGATAAATCATCCAATAGGTGATTCTATGTCTAGTTATCATTATTTTCAAAAGCCCTTCTCATTTTAACAACTCTTTTAATTATTTTTCTAAAACATTGTTTTATTTATCTTTTGAAAACTAAGGTATTACAAATATATTTATAAGTCACACTCAAGATTGAAAAAAATTATTTTCTAATTTTGAATAGTGTTGTTAAATATAATTATCACCTGCACATCTCGGTATTTGGAAATAAGATTTTAAATTATGACATAATTAATTTTAACTAATTAATTTAATTATTTTTTTTATTGATTTTGATGATTTAAATATTTGTTTCTTAGAAAAATATATTTTTGATCTTTCTAAAAAAATTTAAAATTTGGTTTTACTCCCTCCAATCCGTACTCTGGCCCCGGCCAGCACTGCTGCAAATATACTAATTGCCTGGTGCTCTTGAATGAAGGTCATGTCTTTTACCTCTTGCAGAGGATACTGAAGCCGGAGCTCATAAACCAAAGTTTTAGACTAAACCCACTCTGCTCATATATATATATGACGGTATTATACATTTTGTGTGTTATATTTCTATCAAATTAAAACATTTGAAGAATTTACTTAGGAAGAAGTGTGCATGCTTCTATGTAACCGTGCATATATAGAGCATGTTATTGCTATATTTTTGGGAGATAAAACAAACTTCATTTTTTTTTTGGTAACCAAGTCTCGTTATTATCGTTTTCTTTTAAAAATTTGAATTTTATTATTATCATCTACTACAATAAAATGGACTTTTAGTGGCATTTAATATGATTTTTAGTGGCAATAAAAATTGCTACAAAATATTTTACCGGCATTTCACACATTAGCCATTGTATGCAGTGTCGCTAAAATATTTACCGACAATTATTCTATATGCTGGTAAAGACCCTCATAATGGTCGGGAAAAACGTATAATTTTTTGTGTCACTTGTTACTGGCATTTAAAATTGCCTCTAAAATTTAAGAAAGTATTTATAATATTCTTTATTCATCTTATTTCTAGTCGATGTAAGACTTGTAAGATGAATACAAATACACTTTAGTTACCTTATTTTTAATTGACGTGAGACTTAGAAGATAAAAGTTATTTTCTAAGTATATATTCTTTAATTTTTTAATTATCTTATCTCCTAAATACCAACTTAGAATAGTAAGTTATAGGCCTAACTCAACCTTATAAAACATACTTGTAAGGTGAGAGTTATCATTCACTTATATACTCTTTAATTATTTTATTTATAGTTGATGTGAGACTTAAGTTTTTTTCTAACAAATAATTATCGCTAATAGTAAATTTTGATATAATATAAATATATTTTTAGTGACCATTATATAATAATTAATATTTTTATTAAATAATAAAATAGAGGTAATTAATTTATTGTCATTAAATAATTGTCGATAATACTAAATTTTGTTGTAGTGATTATCTCTGCTCTATCATTTTACTTCTTCCAAAGAGTATCACCTCCTCCCTCAACTTTTTTCCCTTTTTTCAAAGGACACGTGAAATTCGTTGCACTATATTTCTCGATAATGGAGCAAGTTCTTTGTTTATAGACATGCTTGAATTACCATAGGTTGGTTGTATTTCTTTTGCACTTGTTGACTTAAACAAGAAAACTCATAGTCACGCCCAAAATGCATGCCTTGAATATAAAAGAGAGAGAAAGAATATAACAAAAATGATCCTTTTGTTTATTTGCGCGTGAAATAACACGCAAATTGCAGAAAAAGATACTTCAAAATAAGAACAGATGATTTTATTCCAGTTTTTATACACTAATTTTTTCATTCAATTCATTGTTAAATATATTTTTAAATATTAAAGTGAAATAATAAAATAAATGAGTTATGGTAAACGTATACTCTACTTTAGGAGATGTATAGATGGAGAAGGAATAGAAAGACACAAGAACATGGTTTATATAATATAAAATTATATTTGTCTGAATTTGAACAATGATATTTCCATTTAAGCCGATCCAATTTGTTTAGCAATTTTTCATTTTAAGATTTTGTTTCAATTAGTTTTTACAAAATTTAAATCAAAATATTTTAAGTTATAACATCTACAAATTCAAGACCATAAAATGTATAAAAAGAATTAATAGATTGAAATTTCAAAAGAATTCAATAAAATCATTTCTACTGTATTTTATTTTTATTATTTTCTTCCTTTTACATCATATCACTTATTATTTTTACCACATTCTTTTTCTTTCTCCTTGTGTCTTTCTATTTCTTCTCCATCTATACATCTCCTAAAGTAGAGTATACGTTTACCATAACTCATTTATTTTATTATTTCACTTTAATATTTAAAAATATATGTAACAATTAATTGAATGAAAAAATTAGTGTATAAAAACTAGAATAAAATCATCTGTTCTTATTTTGAAGTATCTTTTTCTGCAATTTGTGTGTTATTTCACGCGCAAAGAAACGAAAGGATCATTTTTGTTATATTCTTTCTCTCTCTTTTATATTAACGCATGCCTTTTGGGCGTGGCTATGGGTTTTCTTGTTTAAGTCGGCAAGTGCAAAAGAATACAACCAACCTATGTAATTCAAGCATGTCCAAACAAAGAACTTGAGTTGTTTGTTTTTGCTCCATTATTTAAATATAGTGCAACGAATTTCACGTGTCCTTTGAAAAAAAGGGAAAAAAGATGATGGAGGAGGTGATACTATTTGGAAATACTAAAATAATGGAGTTAGAGATAATCATAATAATAAAATTCAAATTTTTAAAAGAAAACGACAATAACGAGACATGGTTACCAAAAATAAAATGAAGTTTGTTTTATCTCCCAAAAATATAGCAATAACGGTTACATAGAAGCATGCACACTTCTTCCTCAGTAAATTCTTCAAATGTTTTAATTTGATTGAAATATAACACAAAAAATGTATAATACCTTCATATATATATATATATATGTATAATACCTTCATATATATATATATGAGCAGAGTAGGTTTAGTCTAAAACTTTGGTTCGGTTTCAATATCCTCTGCAAGAGCACCAGGCAATTAGCATATATGCAGCAGTGCTGGCCGAGGCGAGAGTACAGATTTGAGGGAGTAAAATCAAATTTTAAAAATTTTAGAAAAATTAAAAATATATTTTTCTAAGAAACAAATACTTAAGTCATCAAAATCAATAAAAAAAAATGGTTAAATTAATAAGTTGTAATTATGTCATAATTTAAAATTTAATTTTTAAATATATAGAGTTAAACAGCATCTGCAGGTGATAATTATATTTATTAACATTATTCAAAATTAGAAAATAATTTTTTTCAATTTTTGAGTGTGACTTATGCTATTAGTTGCCCAATAAATATATTTGTAATACCTTAGTTTTCAAAAAATAAATAAAACGATGTTTTAGAAAAATAATTAAAAGATTTGTTAAAATGAGAAGGGCTTTTGAAAATAATAATAATAACTAGACATGGAATCATGTGTTGCGTGATTTATCAAAACTCATATTGTTTTTCTTATATTTTAATATATATTTATATCAAAATTTAGTAATATTGCAATTATTATACTTTTATATTTTAATTCTTTAGTCTATTAATTAATTAATTTAAATTACTTCTAAATGAATAATATTAATTGATATTAAATTATTTCTAATTTTTTGTGGATTTTTGTTGATTCTAACACTAGTACAAAATATGTTTTTTACGTCACTATATTTTCGTCGGAAAACGAAAAATCCAATGTAAAAAAAGTGCGATGGAATTTTTGAAATTATATCCAAGTTTTTTACGTTGGATACCATGAGGTCCGATGTAAAATTTGAAATCTACATCGGACTACAAGGAGACCCGACGTTGATTTCAAATTTTACGTCGGACCTCATGGTGTCCGGCGTAAAAACCTTGTTATATCCATTTTTCCTGATTCATTTCTTTGTGCGAACAAGGGTTTTCTATGTGTAGAAAGTTCAAGCGACTATTCTGACGAAGAGTTTGTACGCAACCTGGGTGTTTTCGGTCACGGTGAATGACAGCGATGGTGGCGGAGACATCCATTTGTCGTTGCAGATCGTTTTATCCGATTGGATTGAAGCTTTTGGTGTACGTCTTGCTTAGGTTAGTGCTTAAGGCTACTCGAAACT